TGGGCGATAAAACAACGGCATGGCAATGCTGGCAAAGGTTGGCTCGCCGAGGCAAAGCCCTCGGCCCAACTAACGTGACGGAGCTGGTCGGCTAGTGACGCCGAAGTGTCCAGAGTAGGCTGATGAAGAGATGGCGAAGCCCCCGGTCCAGCCGAGATGTCGAAGCCTCGACGTCAGCCGATGAGTCGAAGTAGGTCGGCGTGATGGACACCAGCTTGAAGAAGCAATAGTGCGATCCTATCGATGCAGGTCGTGACGTGGTCGATGCCGGCTTGATGAAGCGACCGTGCGGCGATGCTGGTATGCCCGCTCCGTGTAATCCGTGGGGCGGCGATGTTGATGATGATTTATCCTTTGCGATGCCGGACTCTTGTTCGGCTTGCCGAGATGATGATGATCCGAAGAAGTTGAGCTTGGCTAAAGTGACGACGTGTCTAGCGCAGGTCGGCAGCCGTGAAGTGATATTGCCGGACTGGTTTGACACCAGCATGATGTTGAAGATCATGTTCAAAAGATCTTAAAGTTAGTGGGATGTGTTCGGGAACAAAACACAATACCCCATACAAAACTTCCTTCAAAAGGGATGTCCGAAATCCTGTTCATAAAAAAGACGAACTCGGGTCGGATTCGTTTTCACGCAGAAAACAGATCCGAAAAGTGATGCACTAATCGGAAGGTTCCCGAAGTTTGGACGGTCGGATCAAGCTGAAATTTTGAGAGGTGGTAGATATAGGAATTCCGCAGCCGATCAACGATTGAATCTTTCAAAGGACGTCCGAGCTAGAAGCTGGACACCACGCCCTAAACTCGTCCAGATTCCCGTCCAAATTTGACAGGGCTCCAGTATATCATAGATTACCAGAGATTCCTCCATCGGAACTCGACGAAATTTTCCAGGGTTGTTGTAGACTCGATTCCGCACAATTCCACTGAAGCGATCCTTAAAGCGACGCTCGAGGAGGCGGTGGCGGCGGATACGCGTTCGTTGTCCGGAAAAACAGCACGGTCGCCCGAGGGCAATGTTGACGTTGAGCCCCCGAGCTCCATGGACGATTCCTCCATGATCTTGATAGAGATAGGAGTTGATGTTTGATGAAGGCCCTCGTCCGAACATGGTGATCCGAACACGGGGCGCAATTCTTGGTCGAACCAAGGTGACCAGTCGAACTGGTGACGAAGACGCCGAAGTTGCAGTTGATCTGGAGGCGAGCCATCGATCCTTTTGCCGATCACACAGTGGAACTCTCAATGAAAGCACCAGTGTCAGTGTCAAAACCGGCGGATCTCAGGTAGGGGGTTCTGAACTGTGCGTCTTGGATCAATGGTAACAGGAGGTAGGGGACACGAAGTTTTACCCAGGTTCGGGCCCTCTTGAGGGAGGTAAAACCCTACGTCCTGCTTGATTAATATTGATAATATAGATAGTACAAGAGTTGATCTACCACGAGATCGTAGAGGCTAAACCCTAGAAGCTAGCCTATGGTATGATTGTATGTATATATGATCTATCGACTAGCCTGGCCCTGGTTTATATAATGCACCAGAGGCCTAGGTTAACAAGAGTCCTAGCCGAATACGCTGGTGGGGAGAAGTCCTTGTCTTGATCGCCAAGTCTTGTGGAATCTTCCTTGTATGCGGCAGTTGTCCGAACTGGCCCATGAGTATACGGCCACGGGGGTCCTCGGCCCAATCTATCAGATCGGGAGATGACGTGTTGAGTACCCCTAGTTCAGGACACCGTCAACGAGGATAGAGGAAGCACTACATTGTGGAATGGAGGGAGTAGCAAACTATCTACTCATCATCGGATGACGATGACCTCCTTGCTGGAGCGACCATCGGCCTCGTGGTCATTGGTGCCTAGGCAAAACGCCAGTGCCTCCTCCTCGTCCTTTGCCTTCGCCTCCGCGTCAGCAAAGAGCTGCTCACGCTTAACGTCCACCTCATGGATGAAGCGGCGGTTCGCCGCCGCCTCCATCTCAGACTGGGGACTCGTGGGTGGCTGCTGCTCTGCCACCTACTCCACTGGGCGATCTCGAACTCCGCCAACGCGTCCTCCATGCTGAACCAGGCCAACTTCGACACTAGCGCCTCCTCCTCCTAGTCTGATGGCGCCTCCTTCTCCTCCCATGCTTTCGCCTCTTCCATCTCCTTGTCCGACGCCTCCACCTCCTCCCTGAGGGGTTCAGAAGCACGCCGGCCACAATATGCGCGACATGACATGCCTAGATGGCGCGCATCTCTCGCCCGGCATTCTGGGGTCAGTAGCTTGTAATGCGTCACCTTGGTGTAGACCATGGCAACAGGCGGATGGTGACGACCGACGACGAGTTCGGATTGGAAGTGGAAGAGGGTGAGGACAACGAAGATGTAGATGGGAGAGAGAAGGGGAATAGGGGCGGGGCTAGGGATGCCTTGTTGTCCAACTTGAATAGCCAGATTTGGTTCCTCGGACGGCGCGTCAGAGCAGCGTTATGAATGTATCCTCACCGTACCATAGGAGTCGCCCGTCTAACCAATGTGTTTTGACGCGGGATGACTGATGGGTAGCCCCATATCCGCCCCACATATGGGCCGACTTTGAGGGTGTTGAATAGCCCGAACGGGCCGATCTGAGGGTTGGACGACAAAATCTCTACCGGGTAGTAATCGAGGCTTGGGCGCCACTATCTCTCGCCTTCAACGAGAGGGTACGAACCCTTGCTGAAGGGGGGACCGAGATGGGCTGGACCAGGAGCGCGGAAGGCCACATCCTCCTTTTTTCCGTTTCGTTCATTGCTTTTGTTTATACTAGAAAATATTCTAAGTATATAAAATTATTAATCAAGCATTTGAAAAAAAATGTGGAACAAGTATTTGAAAAATGTTAATCAAGCATTTGGAAATTGTTATATTTGTATAGAAAAAATTGACAATGTGTTCAAAAAAATATTAATCTTGCATTTAGAAAAAAAAGTGCATATAAATTTTTTGAGCATGTATTAGAAAAAAATGTTAGTCTTGTATTTGAAAAATGTTAATAAGGCATTTGAAATTTTTTAAAGTGGGTATAGAAAAAATGTTTACAATGTATTCAAAATGTTAATTTTGTATTTAGAAAATGTAATCAAGCATAATGTTTAAAATTTATATACAAAAAAGTATTGAACATGTATTTAAAAAGTTAAATTTGTATTAAAAAAATGTTAAATGTGTATTAGAAAAATGTTGTTGACATATACAAAAAATGTAGAATGAAAAATAAAAGAAAGAAAGAAAACCAAAAAAGAAATAAAATATACCAAAAAATGATAATGAAAAATAGAACCAAAGAAACAAATGCAGAAAGAAGAAAAAAGAATGAAAACAAAACAAAAAAAACCAGAGAAGAAAAAAAAAAGAAAACAAGACAAAAAAGCATTGAAAACCAAAGAAATAAGTGAAAAAACTGAAAAAAACAAACAAAATGGAGAAAAAAAAGAAAGAAACAAAAAAACATGTTGGAAAAACAAGTGTTAATAATCGGCTTATTCTGCCTCTTTTCCGATTTATAGGGCTTATCTCAGTTTTTTCGTTTTCTCGATTTAAAAGGCTCATCTTCATCTCCTTTTAAGATTCCAAGGCGTATTAAATCTTTGCATGCAAGAATTAAAATGGACTCAGCAATGCGTGTAGTGTACCTACTCATCTAGTGATGAAGCATGCATGCACTACAACTAATCCAAATTAATACATCAATTTAATTTGGGTAGTTTTATAAAGTACGAAATACATTCCTCCACTCATCATCTGTCTTGGTTGATGAGATTTCAGATTTGAGCCCTGTAAGCCGGAAAGGAGGGAGTACCTCGTGCCGAGCCCGGTGGCCAACATCGCTGGAAAAAGACTAGGCGACCATGGAACATATCCCTGCTCGCGTGGTCGATCCTTTTTCTTCTCTTTCTCTCAAGTGAGGGTTAATAGGCTGGCTCGCTATGTACATGCTTGCGGGTGTTGAATATGGAGAGCCTCAAATGCCCGGGCTAACTGGCATCCCTCATATCCAATCCAAATATGAGGGCGCCCGGGCGCATCCGCCGGCCTCACTACAGGTCCTAGCGGTCCCACCCGCAGTCGCAGAAGCTCCTTCCTATATCACCGATGCACCCAAATTTTAGTGCCACATCACCGCGCGAGGCAGACGCCGGCCGACTTAAATAGCCGCGCTAGCGGATGGCGGCAAACTTCTCTGTTGTTGCATAGGGCAATCAACTCTTACTGTGTGAACGAGATAATTTGACACTAGATTGCATTTCATCAATTGACGATTGTTCATCAAGTGTGAAGTTTGTCTCATTCATATACATTGATACCTCTATTCGATGACAAGAGATTTTTATTTTGTTCATCAAATTGTAGCGAGACATTGTAATTCAAAAAAGCAGTACTGATATGAATGTTTTACTTGTGGAGGAGATAGACCTGATTATGAATCTTCTATGTGATAAGCATAGAAGATTTATACTCACAGTCCATCTTCTTGACAAAGGATGCAATAATGTCAGAAGCTTATCGTTTTTGGATGATCAGGCTATTTAAGCCGGTCGATTAGCTCGTCATGCAGCGAGGTGGGAGTAATACGGGATGTGAAAATCTTAAGTATGAGCAAATTTCGACGTGTTTTGACAGCCCAGCCGGCCCAAGACTAACAGGATGATCGTCGTGTATGGCCCTGCATGTAATATGTATTTCAAAAATAAGGTATATGGTTGCAAATGATAAAATTTGAGGCCCGCCCGGTCACTGTTCGTGGGCACGTTTGGACGCATCCGTGGATGTTTGAAGGCCCGAATTTGCTTGCAACATGCGGCTGTAGATGCTGTTAGTAAATCAATCATGACACACGCAAGCTTTATTGCCTTACGGGGACAAGAATACAAGAAAGAATACAAGATAAATATGATCACAATAATACAAATTTGGGACAAGACAACAGAGGAAGGAAAGTCCACAAAATAGTACTCCATGGCCGTCCAGCTTCATCAGTGCCCACCCTTTGGCGCCGCAGCCGCCGGAGAAGACCCCCATGGATGCACCCTCCCGGTGTTCCATGAGTTACAAGCTTCCTTCTTCTCCCCTTCACCCATGAAACTCTCCTTCTGCTTCTCTTGTTCTCCGGTCATCGACTTGCCCATCGTGGTCGTTGCCGCGGCCTTCTCGCTGTCGCTGATCCTCTTCCTCACTCTCTCTTGCTTCACGTGTACCTGTGCATAGCTGAACCCCATGGAAGACATGTTGAGTAGTACTACTACAGGTTGGCTACAAGGATGAAGGCTTGAGTTACTGTGATTGGTTGGGCGTTTTGGTTTGCATACGTGCGTGTATTTATAGGCGCCAGACGGTATTATGGGGGTGGGAATCGTGTGCTGTTTTCTTAATTTCTGTGGGGCTTATCTCCTTTGCTGGCTTAGGTGGACTTGCCAATACTCCTAAAAGCATCATCAGTATAATTTGCTTGCCTGGCAGTGCGGTCCACTGCATGCTTCACTTCTGCATTGCCTGTCCTTAAACTTCTGAGCAAATGGATATCTCTATTCTTTCCCTTAGATGATATTGGATCCACAAATACTAAAATCTTCAGGTTTTGGTAGGTAGTCGCACTTTGGAAGTAGGCTGGAGAAATCTCGTCCACAATTGTAACTAGCTGTTGTATTTAAAACTTCAGATTTGATTGGCTGTCGCACTTTGAATGTACGCCGCCGATGAGCTCTCAACCACACCGCCGGAGTACACTACACCAGTAGTCTATACCTTAAATTAAGTCTTTCCTTTTGAGGCAAGATATGTTACTCTACCTTAATTTAATTAGTTTTTGTCGAAAAGGAGGATGACGACTTCTGCATGAGGGCGATGCATGCATCTATTTTATCAACAGTCTTGCTAAGTCTCAGTCGACTGAGACTTCTTGCTAACTCTTAGTCGACTGAGACTTCGTTAAGTCTCAGTCGATACTATATTCGTGAGATCTTACATTAAAATTGGTGTAATTTTTTTTAGTTTTCTTTTCTCTTTCTTGCATGTTATTTCGCTTGATTGAGATTTGATTAAATCTCAGTCAACTGAGACCTAGTCACACCATTTTATCAATTGCTCACCAAGATCTTACAAAGGAATACATTAATAAGTCTGAAGCTATCATCTTAGCAACAACTATCGCTACTCCTATCAACTCGATGAAGGGCTGCAGATTGTCGGGACCGCATACCCAAATCTCACACCAAAGCCCAACATCTAAAGCCGAAGGTCCCAACCAAGCCGAATTGCCGGGTCTAGGTCACACCACTCCCATGACGCGCGAGAGAGGTAGACCCCCGCCACCCCCGTCGGCCCCCGGGCTTAGCCCGGCGGCAATGGGAGGAGGGAAGGAAAGAGGTTGCATCCCCAACACAACCCCTCAAATTGGGGTCACTATCCGTCCCAATACATTTGAAGTGCAAATAATGACCAATAGCCAAATAAAAGTGCATACGTATGCTTCAAAACCAATAAACAACGTTTCATTAGTTTTTACATGCGCCCGATGACAAAGTTACAGTCCGTACAAATTATGCCCTCCCAGACCGGCTGTTCATGTCTCCTTCGTCATCATTTCATAAAGCCTGGTTGAAACATACCGGCGAACAGAGCGCGGGCATCTAATTGATCCATGCCCCGCGTCCGCGACCGGACAATCTGCGGCGATAGTGACTCGGCGAAGTGGACAGACACGTTAAGGTCAACGGCCCATGGCACAGACGTGCCAGAAGTGGTTGGGGACGGGTGCTGATGACCAAGATGCATCGCGGTGTAGTAGTACGGCGGCCACTACATCTCCATTGGACAAGGCGGAGACTGCATTGGCGGCGGTGGCGGCGCCCTCCGCCCCCGACTAGTCCCTTGCCCCATCCCGGCCCACTGCCCTTCTTAGGAGGTGGCGGGTGGCCAGCCGCCAAAGCTGCTTTCTCTTTGCCTCTTTGGACGCGGCGGCGCATGCTGCGGGTCGCCGAGTTGATCTTTCGGGAAGCCAACACCTTTGAATTCTCCTTCTTCGGCTCTGGCAACGGTAGGAACGGATCCATGCGGCAACGATGGTGAAAAGGGTGAGAATGTGGGTGGACAACAGTGGCAATCGGCTAGAGAGTGTGGGAATGGGCGGGCTCCGGCACGGAATCAATGCGTATGTGGCCAAATACGCGGGCTTGGGGTGGGTTTTTTGGGTGGATCAGTGTTGTTGGGGTCCTACATGACGAAGGTCCGGACTCCCACAAATCTTCGCTAGCTTTGCATACAGTTTACGGAAATTCGTACACACGGATGCGTCCACAGACTTTTGCAGCACCGCGTTGGATGGCAAAAGGCTGTGAACACGTTGGTCTAGATGTTTGCGGGCGTTTTATGGCACGGCCCTTGGAGATGCCCTAAGGCACCAGTCTTTGATCGTTATCATAAAATTTTCAGTGGTCTGTACCAGCCAGCAAGGCTTGTAAGCTATCCTAAAATCAACAATAAACACTAGTCACTGTTGTAATCCCTTTCATGTTCTCTCAAGCCTCCGAATGCATATTTGTGGGATATACAATATGCCCAGGGCCGGGCCGGGAAAATTCGGGGCCCTGTGCGGAACTCTAAAATGGGCCCTATCCTAGTAGAGAAAATAAACCAATGAACAATTATAATGTACGCGTCATAATATTTTATATGTTGATTGGATATATTTAGTTATACATATTCAACTGCCCGTTGCATAACGTTTATTTCGATAACATCTTTTTGAAATTCTTTGGGACGACATATATAATGATATCCTCGGGATTTGGGTATGACCAAGGCTAATCTAACTCAGAAATTTAATCATCGGTACATAAGTTTAAGTTTTATAAGAACGCATGTAACTTACCAAGTGGGCATTTCGTGCCAAAGTTCTTAAGGTGGTAAAAAGGGATGACAATATACAATTTTTCCATATGATTGCGAATGGCAAGCATAGGAGAACAAAATCATCCAGCTTGAACAGGATGAGGAAACAGTTGTTGGACATGAGAATTTAAAGTTCTTTATTTCCAACTACTACAAGAAGTTGTTTGGACATCCGATAGAGAACGCCGTGACTCTAGATGAGAGTGTATTGGCAGATATCCCTCAGTTGCAGTTAGAGGAGAATGAGATCCCGTCTGCTCCTTTCACTGATAAGGAGGTGTTTGAGCGATAGATCAAATGAAACCAAACAAGGCACCGGGACCAGATGGGTTCCCCGCAGAATTTTATAAGAAATATTGGCATATCATGAAGGAAGATCTTATGCCAATGTTTCATGATCTTTTTAATGGACATCTTCAACTGTTTCATTTGAATTTCGGCACGATCACTCTTCTCCCTAAAAAGGAGGAGGCCATACGCATTGAGCAGTTTAGGCCCATCTGCTTATTGAACGTCAGTTTCAAAATCTTTATGAAAGTGGCCACCAACAGGCTGACAAAGGTAGCACACTCGGTGGTGCAACCAAGTCAAACTGCCTTCATGCCTGGCAGACACATACTAGAAGGGGTAGTTGTCTTGCACGAAACCTTACATGAAATTCACTCGAAGAAACTCGATGGAGTGATATTCAAAGTGGATTTTGAAAAGGCTTACGATAAAGTTAAGTGGCCTTTTCTACAGCAAGCGATGCGCATGAAAGGTTTCAATGCATCCTGGAGGAATCAGGTGGATTCCTTTGTCCAGAAAGGTAGTGTTGGAATAAAGGTGAATGATGATATTGGACATTATTTTCAAACGCATAAAGGCCCGAGGCAGGGTGACCCAATGTCCCCGATACTGTTTAACATTGTGGCTGACATGTTGACAATACTCATAGGCCGGGCCAAGGAAAAGGGGCTGGTTGGTGGACCAGTCCCTCATCCGGTGGATGGGGGGGGGTCTCCATCTTACAATATTCAGATGACACAATATTATTTATGAAACATGACCTTGCACAAGCTCGAAATATGAAACTTATCCTATGCCTTTTTGAGCAATTGTCGGGGCTGAAGATCAATTTCCACAAGAGTGAACTCTTCTGTTTTGGAAGGGCCAAGGATGACCAAGAAGAGTACAAGAACCTATTTGGTTGTGAACTGGGTTCTTTGCCCTTTAGCTATCTTGGCATTCCAATTCATCATAGGAAATTGACTAATAAAGAATGGAAATGTATCGAAGAAACTTAGCTGCTGGAAGTGTAAGCTTATGTCATATGGAGGACGGCTAGTATTAATTAATTCAGTACTAATGAGCATGCCGATGTTCCTCCTGTCTTTTTTCGAAATACCCAAAGGGGTACGCAAGAGATTAGATTTTTATCGGTCTCGATTCTTCTGGCAATCAGATGAGGTTAAGACAAAATATCGTCTGGCAAGATGGGATATTATTTGTCGACCAAAAGACCAGGGAGGTCTTGGGATTGAAAACCTCGAGGTGAAAAATAAATGCTTGTTGAGTAAATGGCTATATCGATTATCGCCGCATTCCGAAGGAATGTGGGCCCAGATTCTTCGCAACAAGTATTTACACTCCAAAACTCTAGCCCAAGTCACCGTAAGACCTAATGATTCACCATTTTGGAAGGGACTCATGAGAGTGAAAGAGACCTTCTCCCATAGGGTGAAGTTTATTGTTGGGGACGGTTCAACAATAAGGTTTTGAGAGGATACTTGGTTAGGTGATACACCGCTAGCTCTTCAGTATCCTTCACTGTATCATATTGCTCAACGCAAGGAAGAGTACGTGGCAACGGTGATGCAGACGGTACCCCTGAATATCCAGTTCAGGCGATCTCTAGTTGGGGAACGCTGGACTTCTTGCCTACACTTAGTCAGGAGGCTAATTGAGGTGCACCTCTCCGATGAGGAGGACTCTTTTAGATGGAAGCTCACGAATAGTGGTTTGTTCACAGTCAAGTCTATGTATTTAGATCTCATCAACTCTAGCCCAATCCCGCTACCGATTCATATTTGACGAGTTAAGGTGCCCTTGTGAATTAAGATATTTATGTGGTTCGTACACAAACAAGTGATCCTAACCAAAGATAACTTACCGAGGCGGAGATGGGTAGGTAGCTTGAGGTGTTGTTTTTTTGATCAGGACGAAACAATACAACACCTATTTCTTGATTATCCTCTTGCAAAGTTACTTTGGCGGTCGGTGCATGTAGCCTTTAATATTTCACCTCCTAATAGCATAGATACGTTGTTTGGGACGTGGCTTGATGGAGTGAATGTTC